TACTACCAACACTCTGAATGGACAGCTCTCTACCTTGATGCCCTCAGACTGGTGGTGGAGGTCTAAGGAGCTGGGCAGGGGGCTGGGTCGTGTGTGCAGGTAGAACACGACGCCAGCTGCCAGGGCGAACAACGAGACGATGGCCGAGGTCGGCAGGGGCGAGAACAGAAGCTGGAGCAGGAAGTCCATGGTGCAAGGTCTGCTGGGATGCAGAGCAATGTGAATTAGAGATATTAGCACTTTGACACATAGAGTTGATTGTATAACTGTTTAAGATGTACAGTCTGTTTTGCCATCCTCAGCTCCTTAAAACTTGGTTTTGTCTCCATACTGTAATAACTAGAGGTCAAAGTCAACACGACTTGTGCAACACTTATGATAATCTCTGCAGATAGAGTCCCCGACACGAAAGTCAGAGAAGTCTATATATACAGTGATACAGCTGCAAAATAGTGAGTATTTCCGAACACTGTTAAACTAGTGCGGAATGATGTTAAACACATGGTGGAACAAATAAAAAGTTATTCTCCTTAAAAAGCATTAACTAAAAATGTTCTTGACCTTTGACACAGGTTGTGTGTCACATTGTGAACTACACTAAGGGCCAAGGGTAATCATTTTATGAGTCTGATTGGGAACAACTTGTTTTATGGTATCAGAAAATGATTAATCTATTATTTTTCAGATACTTCCATTCGTCTTGATTTAATAACACAAAGTGATTTAAATACATTTTGTTTATTGTTGATAGTATTGTTATTTTTCAGTGTGGACCCCAGGAAGACTAGCAGCACTTTATATTTTAAGTGAAGAAAGAAAGAGCACCTGTTTGCTTGCACCATGAAAGAAAAGAAGCAGGTTATGCAAGTAAAGTGAAAATATAACTAAAGGATATTATATAGAAGGAATCTCAAATCAAGCAACATAAATCAAGCAAAGACATTTTTTTCTTACGAATGCAGAGCGACAGTGTGCATTTGCGTAAAGTAAAATACTAATGAGAGAGAAAGAAGGGTCAACTATATTAAAATATATCAGTATTCATCAGTTTGTTTATCAGAATACATTTGAAATGTATGAGTGAGGTAGACTGATATGCAAATTGCAAACAACAAACACAATTATAATTCCCATCTTCATTATTATTGATGAATGCGTAATGCCACAGCTTTCCTACCTGCTGCCGGTCCTCTCAGGTGTTCCACTCCGCTCTTAGCTCACACGCAGGTGTCTGTGTGGTTTGTGTGAGCACAGCAGATCTTCCTCCTCTGCTCTGAGGAGTACAAGAACTCATAAAGACAAGGTCAGAGGAACCTTTGAACCTTCCACCTTCACTTCGACTGATAACAAAACCTGACATTGAACTGCTCCAAGGTGTAATTCATGATATTAAAGTGTGTGTGTTGCAATTTATTATACATGTATTTCAAAACCGTCAGCTCTATCAACCAGTTATTGCTTTAATTTCAGTCCAGATAACGCTCATATCTGAGGCGATGTCTGAGGAAGTGAGATGCTGCAGCTGATGAAAGGTCAATAATCTTATCTAGCGTTTAACGTATTCAAAGTCCTCACACCTCAACAACAAAACAAACCTTACAGTTCTCTTTGAAAAATAGCTAGTATGCATGTTAAGTAAGTTAAAAGGTCAACCTGTGCTCATACAGCGCCGCAACTCTGTAAGTGCAAGCCATACAGTATGAATATGTAAGGGGCCCTATTATGCTAACTTTCAGGTGCATATGTATACTCTGTGTATCTACTGGGACACATTTCCATGCTTTAATGTTCAAAAAGCTCTTTATTTTTCTCATACTGCCTGTAACGACGAGACGCCGTTACTAGAGCTCTCGTGAACATGTTTATATAATTTATTGATGTAGTATTTATTTAATGGTATAAGTGTTCACCCCCATCTTGTCTGTTGCTTCCGGTCGTCTCTGTGTTCCCTCCTACTGATTACCCTATTGTGTTCACCTGGTGCCCTGTGTTTGCTCCTCCCCCCTCACCTGTGTCTAATTGCTCGTCTGTGTGTGTATTTAAGTGCTGTTTCTTGTTGGGCTGAGTGTGTGTATGAGATCGTTGTGGCTGCAGGATGTGAGAAAGGAGAACAGCAGGATTGAGGCTGTGAACTTTGTGCACATTTTTTGAATAAATGCCCACCCCGGGTTATAATTTTGGACGTTCTGCCTCTGCCTCCTTGCTTGGTCGGGCCGCTCAACGGTCAGTCTCACACTGCCTGTGCTGCAGCACCTCTTTTCACCCTCCATCTGAAACCAGAGCCCAGTCTGCTCTGATTGGTTAGCTGGCTGGCTGTCTCTGTTGTGAGTGGTCAACCGCTTAGAGATGTTCCGCCCCTTAGCCTATCTCGTACAATGTGCTGGAGCGCTAGACAATAGAAGAACATGTGTTACGTAGTGATGTCATTATGTTACAGAAAAAAACTATGGAGTAAAATGGAGGCGTTTCAGGCAGGGGGGGGGGAGCGTGTGGGAGAGAAAATCAGAACACAGGGCTTGCACCAAAAACTTATACAACAAATGAAAAAAAGCATAATAGTGTCCCTCAATAACATTTACAACATATTTCAACACCCCCACAAATTGCATATTTCTCAAATGTTTTCATTAAAATGTTCACGAATTAAATTGTTTAATTTTTATGAAGTTACATCAGACTCTTCTAGAATTAAGACCAGCCAAGTCTCTCAGTGTGAAATATTCGACTAAATTGTACTTTCTTGAACACTGAAATGAATTTGATTGGAATGAAAATAACCGTCTAGTAGACTTTCTAAACATATTTTCCTATGATAAAGGTTTTTTTTCCAGGTCAGAAAGGTGTTATCAGCACATACAGCAGGTTGTGTCGGTGTAGCTGCCTCAATTAAAATAAAAAGGAAAGATAAGCTGGAATTGCACCTTTGATCAGACTGATTAAAAAAAGTAAGACCATGCAACTTTTTCGGGACAGCAGTCATCGTGGACACGCCACAAATAATGTATGCTAAAATCATAAAATGGGGAGGAGAAAATAAAGACGGAAAACGCTGCAGCAATATCCAATATCCAATAAAAGTTAGTATGGTATATTTCTTCCTTGTTCTGCCTGTGAATCTATCTTTTAATTAATGTCATCTTTTACAAAGCAATTATTTGGTTGTCCAATCATATAAACAGATGTCACCTGAATGTCATGTATGCATTTTAATGGTGTCTCTTGAAGGATTTGATTGTGCAGGATATGTGAGTTGAAGGTAAAGGTTCATTAGGAGAAGCTCTGAGGTTACCTGGTGGGATTAGCAGAGGTGCTGAGATCTCTTGGGGAAGAAAAGCAGCTGAAGCCAGAAACACCAACAAGCTGCCCACCTCTGGTCATTAGCACCTGAAAGTGCACTCAGGTGTGTGTGTGAACTTCTCTGTGCCAGCGAGCAGGGCTCAACCTGCCTCATCAGGTTTCTGCAGATAAAAATCCCAGGGGGTCATCAGCACACATTTCACGTGTTTTTATTTGTCGTAATTAAATTAGCCTACATTCTGATTGTCCACCCTCCTCATGCATGTGTGTGTGTGTGTGTGTGTGTGTGTGTGTGTGTGTGTGTGTGTGTGTGTGTGTGTGTGTGTGTGTGTGTGTGTGTGTGTGTGTGTGTGTGTGTGTGTGTGTGAGTGTGTGTATGAGTGTGTGTGTGTATGTGTGTGTATGTGTGTGTATGTGTGTGTATTGCGTGTGTGTGTGTGTGTGTGTGTGTGTGTGTGTGTGTGTGTGTGTGTGTGTGTGTGTGTGTGTCGGTGTCTCTGTGTGTCTCTCTGTGTGTGTGTGTGTGTGTGTGTGTGTGTGTGTGTGTGTGTGTGTGTGTGTGTGTGTGTGAGCATGCATGTGTCCCTGTGAGAGTTAGAAAGAGAATACGGGGAACTTTGACACTGGCTTTATGAGGGATAACTGAAGGAGGACTGGTTGTAGTAGCTTTGGAATTTACTGATTTATGGTTAATACATTTAACAGGTGATTTATTTAGCAGTAGAATAACTAATAGATGTTTTACTTAAGGTAAGGTTGCAGTACTACAGTGTAGAACAATTGGAAATAGTAGGTAACTTCTGCATTTAATATCAATTTTTTTTATATAAGGGTATTACATGTAATTAACAAAACAACAGATAAGATACTAAGCAATCACAAAAACAGGAATATCTCAAATCACCTTAAAACACGAGTCATGAAAACAACTCAAACTAATTGGGTTTAGTTTTAAAGTTTCTACATTTATCTATAAAAGAATTCCCATGCTGCATTCAAAACTTCACTTAAGTAAAACTAAGTGAAAGCATCAAAAATATACTTAAAGTACCATAAGTAAAGGTTAATGTATGAATATGTATATCACTTTTAAGTTGTAGTTGCTTAAGGTGGACCTTATTTGCATTGGTTTATATACTGTTTGGTAGTTAGATAAAGTGGCTTCTGGTTTTATTCTCTGTTATTAATCTACAGTACAGTAGGTGTATGATATAATATAAGATTTTGAGAAATGTAGTGGAGTAAAAAGTATAATATTTGTCTTTGAGATGTAGTGGAGTAGAAGTAGAAAGTAGCAGAAAATGAAAATAATAATAAGTACCTCAAAGTAGTACAGTACTTAAATAGAGCACTTGATTAAAAGTAGTTCTTACACAAATACACAAAAACGTGTATCTTATAAAAAAACTGTCGTTTTGGAATCAAATAAGAGTCACATGCTATTTTTGACCAAATAATATTAATGTTAAAATTATAATATGTCTATACAGTTAATGAGATAAAACGAATCTACTTTAATTAAGACATAAAATTCAAGCATGGGGTCCTCTTTGACCGTGATCCAAGACAATACTCTATTAAAAGAGAAAAACAAAGAAAATAATGCACTCAATGCCCTTTTGGACCTCCCACCCTCCTCCACATATTTACATGTTCTCCTCCCTATCACAAAGTTGGATGTTGTCTATTTAAACCCTGTAACATGGATCACCTAATAGGATGGAAGTGATGATGAGGGTGGTGTATTCTCCTGACATGAGGCTCATATTGGTGCTGCACTTCACACTGACAGCCGCCACCGTCACCAATAACGACACCAACAGGCTGATCATCGGCTTCCAGGCTCCCTGGAACATCTCGTTCCCCTTCAGCGCCCTGCGGCTGGGCTCCGCCCTGAAGATCGCCGTGGAGAAGGTGAACACCAACCCCTCCTTCCTGGGGAACTACAGTCTGGATTTTGTCTTCAAGGATACAGACTGTAGTCCTAAAGTTTCCCTGGAAGGATTCATTCAGCAGGTGTGGAGCGAGAATGTGTCCGCGCTGTTTGGTCCAGCGTGTCCCGAAGAAGCTGAGGTATGATCCATGTGATGCGGAAATTGATCATTCTTGCATTAGATGTTGCAAAAAAGGTAATTACATTTATAAAGATAAAACTTTATAACTTTAAATAGTTTTTATTCCTAAGACTTTTATACTTTTAGCTAAGTAGCCTAATGGTGAATGCAGGGATTCGATTTCTTATTTGGTTTTATTGTTCATTATTAAACATTATTGCTTTTTCTTCATTAAAGTGACAGCGTATTTTTAAAAGCAATTGCCCCAAAGTTAGAAAGAAGCTGATGTGCATAAGTTGTTCCTGGGAAGATAAACACAGAAAACAAGCACATTACATTCAACAATTTCTATCAATGTGAGATAATAAATAGAATCAGTATGAGAAATATAATAAATACAAGATAAATATTAGTGGTGACCCTTTGGTGCTAATTTTAGCCAAAGCTTGAGGCTGGTTTTAAACACTGCAAATCTCTAATCTTTCTCTCTCTTTCTTTAGTTGTGTATGATTACATGGTGATATTTCTAATTATCCGTAAGTAAAATATCTAAATACTTCTTTAACCACTGGGTAAAACTGGAATCTGATCCACTTCTCTTCATATTCTCTTCATGGTGAAGGTTTACAGATGTGTTACACCTGGCTCAAACCGAAGCACATTCAGTGGAAGGCATATGTTTTCAAACCATGCTGCTGTAGATTGTAAATCATGCAAAAGATGGGAGAAAAGAGAAAAAAATACTGATATGATGTGCTGAATCTGGTACAGTATGTCCTTAGTTTTCTTCCCATTTCTGCATGATTTATACTCTGCAGCAGCATGGTGTCTTCTACAATTATTTCACCAGGAAGCCCTCCAAAAATCCCTACATCAACATACAAATCTCATATTGATATTTTTGTTTAACAACTCAAATAGCTGAGGTAAACACTAAACCGGGTTTAATGTGGTAGAATTGTACGGTATATTTTCATCAAACCTGCAGGCTATGGAAAGACGTTGTTTCTAACAGTTTCTAAGGAGAAACAAGGTAGATTGTGTACTTTTCATGGAAAATTACTTTTAAAAAGGTATTTTGTGGATTCCTAAAGCTTTTTAAAACATTATTTCCAGGTCACCGGTCTCATTGCATCGACATGGAACATCCCCATGTTTGGATTTGTGGGTCTATCCGCTAAAATGGACAACAGTGACATCTACGATTCCTATATAAAAGTTGTGCCGCCTCTTAAAAGAAGCTCGGAGGTCCTGATAAAGACCCTGGAGTTCTTCGGATGGAGCCACGTGGCGATGATCGGAGGGGGCTTAGAATCGAACACTTGGGACAAAGTTGATGCTCTGTGGAAAACCATCGAGGAGCCCCTGAGAGCCAAATTCCAACTAGCTGCTGCGCTCAAGTTTGACACCAGCAATCAGAAGCTGATTTACCGAAATGTTAAGTTAATCTCAACAGTGGCCAGAGGTAAGAAGGAAATAGTTCGAGGCTCGTTCAAACCACGCATAACCATATTTCTGACTAGTAAATGTGTCCTTTGCCATGCAGTGATTGTGGTGCTAACAAACTCAGAGGACTCCATGGCTCTGTTGCTGGAGGCTGAGCGACAGGGTCTGATGCATGGTGACTATGTGTTCTTCCTGGTGCAGCATTTTGAAGTCAGTGGCAGTGTGGTGAGTAGAAATCTAAAGTTACGCACATAATCAGCTGAGGTAAAAGTCTCCCGCACCATTAATTGGACTACAAGCTTTGGAAATGGAAAGAACAATTATGAACTGCTGTCAACAATAACTTATATTTTTCTTCCATGTGAACTGTATCAATCTCTTTCCTGAGCAGGATAACTTGTGGAAATATGCCGTGAACAACAGGATGGACCAAGCTGCCATCAGAGCTTTTGACATGACCTTCATCATTGGCCAGAAATCCTACGATGGCTATGAGTATTTTGACTTCTTTGAGCGAGTTTTTCAAAGACTTAAGGAACACCCGTTTCAGAGCCACCTGTCTTCTGAAAGAGAGGTATGCACCCATGTTTTCCTGAGCTGTAACAACTCATTTTCCAATTCTTCTGATAAAAAGTAAAATCACATATACAATTGTTTAATTTTCTGTTATTTCAGGTTAGCCCGTACGCTGCCTACCTGCACGACGCAGTGCTTCTTTACGCCATGGGGCTGAAGGAAGTCCTCAAAGATGGAAAAGACCCTCGAGACAGAAAGGAGCTCCTGCGGAGATTAAAAAATAAAAACAACATTCGATTTAATGGTTAGTACGGTACTTGCTCTTATTATTGTATTATTTTGGGAGGAGTATGGATATCGAAACCAGAGATGATTGTTGTTTTGCTAGGTAGCCAAATATGTATATATGTAATTTATCAGTTTATTTATGATTTATAAAATCTAGGAAACTACAGGTAACTACAGCTCGAAAATATAAATATATATAATATAAATTATTTACTTCTTTATTTTATTAAACTTGGGTACATTTACATTTTTCTGAATGTACAATGTCTATTTTCAAATAAAAACTAAATTATGTTTTGTAGAGTAAAAAGAATACTTGCCTCTGAAATGTAGCAAAAAAATAGAAATGTTAAGTAAAGTATATATGTTTCTTTTTTTTCACCACGGATTATTTTTACAGGGGCCTCTGGACTAGTCCATTTTGACGAAGAGGGGGAGAGAAATTTGGACTATTCCATTTATGACCTGCAGCTTGTGGGAGACCAAACCAAGTTTGTATCCATCCTCAATTTCGACAGTCAGACCAAAGATGTTCGGTAAAATATGTATAAAACTAAATACATCAAATCATTTCATATTTGTTTTCATGATTACAATTAGGGGATATCACACCAAAAAATATTTCATTTCAGGCCAACGTCTATGTTTGCTTCTGTGGTCTGGCCAGGAGCAGGACCTCCCTCTGACAAACCAGAATGCGGGTTCAACAATGAGTTCTGTGAATGGCTCATTAATGGTAAGTAGTAGAATATGCATCTAGTAAATTCAGCAATCATCTAAATGTTATGTTTGCTAAAGACCACTCGTGAAACAAACCATACTAACCAGCATCATCATGTCCCTTGTTGATGGGGTGCAGACATCGCCCTGCTGGCTCTGCTCGTGGGCTTCCCCCTCATTGGTATTCTGGCAGTTTTGTGCATCGGAGTCCTAGTTCTGCAGAAGTTTCGTCTCCAGACGAGGCTGGACGGCTCCCGCTGGTGGCTGATCAACTACAGCGACATCACCATCATCAAGGTATGATGCGCTGTATGAGCACTGAAACAGATAGAGAATGAGCATACATCTGTGTATGTCTACATTTTGCTTTTGTTCACAGGCTTCTTCTGTGTGTGTCCTCTAGGGATTTCATGGTTTATCTCTGAGCACCACGGCCAGTCAGAGAGAGAGCAACAGCTCTCACTCTAATTTGTCCAACAACAGCATGAGGGACAAGCCAGTGAGAGAACACATCTACACCACCATAGGTCTCTACCAGGTACCAGAGTTTGAAATGAGCATACTGTACTGTATAATTGTTCTGTAGTTATTGTAGCTAAAACGGCGATTTCTGAGAGATTTTAAATCTCAGATCTGCTCAACTCAACCTGTAAGACAGGTCTCAGTGGGTCACGCGCCTTAACCCTGCATTACAATAGGCAGGAACACTCTGCTGATTGCGCGAAGTGCAAAACAGTTAACTAATTAGAGGGGCGTGCCCCCACAGCTGTGAGAACTCAGCAATCAGGTGTCCATCTTAGGTGGCTCTTTCCTGGAGCGTCAGCTTCAGCCCAGACGAAGACTGACAAAGACATTGGAGTCCTGCCGGAGTCACGAGGGAGGCAAAGAGGAGGCAAATCCTACTTTGATTGAGCTAAGTATCGCTGGTGTTTTCTTTTGTTTTGTTTTATTCAATTCTCTTTGGTTCTCTAGCCCCTCATGCTATAATCATGTGTATTTTCTCCATTCCTGTTCATGTGTCCTCTCGCAATTATCACTGGCCCCGTGTATCTCCTAATCGATTTAACCGGCCTGCTCTTGTCTATCCCACATGCTCCACTGAGATCCAACATCTCGTTTCAGGGGGCCTGTGGAACTGCCAGTCAGCTGTTCCTAAAGCTGACTCCATCTCTGGCTACGCTTCCCTGCAGTCTCTGGATTTCCTTGCTCTCACGGAGACCTGGATTACTCCATCCAACACATCCACCCCAGCAGCTCTCTCCACAGCATATTCCTTCTCCCATACACCCAGACCCTCTGGCAGAGGAGGTGGCACTGGTCTCCTGCTCTCTCCAAACTGGAGCTTTTCCCTCTTCAAGCTACCTAACTTCACTCCTTCCACCTTTGAATTCCATGCCGTCACAGTAACCCATCCTATACAATTAACCATTGTTGTTCTCTACCGTCCACCAGGCGCCTTGGGGGACTTCTTGGAGGAATTAGATAATCTCCTCTCACACATCCCTGAAACTGGCCCTCCCGCTGTACTTCTCGGAGACTTCAAGCTCCAGACAGGGAAGATAGACGAACTAACATCTCTGTTAACCACCTTTGCTTTCTCACTGTCTCCATCCCCACCAACTCATAAAGCTGACAATGTCCTTGATCTCATATTCTCAAGGAACTGCACTACTTCTAATCTCTCTGTAAACCCGCTCCACACATCCGATCACTTCTTCATTTCATTCTCCCTACCCCTTTCCAAACATAACAAACTAATCTCTTCTAACCAGTGGCGGTTCTACGGGGTGGCACGGGGTGGCAGCTGCCACCTCAGAAAAATTTGGCAGCTTTGTTTTGAAAGAAAAGTTGTGGCTCATCGGACATTTATTAGAGAAAATCTCTAATGTCCGAGTGCAAGTGAATGCAGCACAAGACGCGAGCCTT